ATTCTGCTGATTAGTTATCGTTGAACTGAGTCGGTTTTATTGCAAACATGTGTACATTTGGCCTGGAATCGCAGCTATAACTGAATAGATTCATCAATGGGTGTGAAGTATTTTTGTGAGCACTTTGAAAATGTGAATTTTTTATGAGCTTAATTGATGGTTTTCTAGCATTCAGATTAGATAATCAGTATTAATTTTTGTCAGTAAAGTTTCATAGTGTTGACACTTTGATAAATAGTTCGAATTCGATAATAATAAGAGAGCCTTTTGGAATAATTTCTCACTTTCAGGAAGAGGAAAAGTTCATTATGATGATGATGTAATTTGCCTTTTTCATCCCAAATTAATGATAATTCATGGTATGAATACGACGAGTGAACTTCATACACTTATGAGAATTAGCAACATTGGTTAAATTACGATCTAATCTTGAGAATAAGAGAATCGTCATCTTTTTTTCATCATGGATTCTTCTGGTTCCATCATTAGAAGATGATTATGTTTATGTCTACCTGGTAGAGGAGAGAAAAAGAAGAAAAAACTCCATAGGATGATAATAACTTCTCAACTGTATTCCCAATCTACAGATCCTTATCCAGGATATTCCATCTATTTTTAATGTTAGATATTCATGAGAAAACATAGAAAACTTCAGGTAAACAGAATCATTAATCTGCTTACCCGATTATCGTTAAGTTTCAATGATAAATGAAACAAAAAGTTTCGCCTGCACAATGAATATCAAATGAGCCTACAAATCTACTTTCTCATCACTTGAGATAACTAATGTTCATCAATAAACCATCATGATTACATCTGAAAACTTAACAGATGATGAGCAATAAAAATCGAGATAAACTTCTGGAAATTCTGATTAGATTAGGATTTGCAAGTTAGAAATGATACTTCTCATAATCTTACTCAATGTTTAAACCTACCAATGTTATCGATGACGATAAGATAATCTGATGATAACAGTTTTACCAACTTTTCCTCCACCAAGATTGATTCAATTCTACCAGAAGTGAAAAGCTACTTCCTCTTCCTATTCCTGGGAATTGAAGGTGAAAACATTACATCAACAGTAGGAAAACAATGAGGGATGTTATCATGAAACCTCATAACTCAGGTGAATAGACTCAGAGTGATAATGAAATTAGTAAATAAGTTGGTACTTTTTATATTTCAAGACTGAAAATCCTCATGAGAGTCGGAAAGCTAACTGGTGTTTACCAGGGATGTGAATAGGTAACTAACACATGATTAGTCTGAAATGAGGAGATAATTAATTAGTTCTTAGAAAGAACTTTCTGTCAGAAACTTAGTAAAAGATAAACTTTACAAGGAACAAGCCTTAGAAATTGAGAAATCAAAAGCTGTGAAGATTTTCACTTGCAAGAATTAAGACTTTTGGAACTTTTCTCTTTCCATGAAAAGTTCATATTCTGAGGACTTTTAGTTGAGCTTCAAGAAAATAATATAACAAATGATATTTTCTATTCCATGCAATTACCATGAAAATGAATGAAAGGAAAAAAAAGCAATCAAGAAGATGAGATAATCGATTAATGGTAACATTAATTATCTCCTTGATTTCAAGTGGAAAAAAGTTCACAAACTTGATACTGAATTTTATCCTGTTCCAAGTTTCCCCTGTATTATTGAATGAACTTTCAATAGTTTTAATAACCATGGGATTCAGGAAAAAGACAGGGAAAGAGTAGAGTAAAAAAAGTAATATCATCAATCAGAATTGAATGTACCCATGACTTGCCACCCACTGGAAAAATTGTTCCACTTTTTTTTGTCAACAATCAATGATCATTATGATCATCAGTCTCTTCAGAATTTTTCTCTTCTTCTATGAATCTTGTCCGATAACATCTCGAAAGTTATTGTTATCATAAAATCCAATTGATGAATTATGACTTGAATTGAGTGATTAGAATCTCATAACCAAAACTCACAACTTTTCAGTTTCGTTTTTCTTGTTCTTTTATTTATCATAATAAGCATTTCTTACAAATAGTGAGCCAGTTATCTGCTCATTACCTTCAGGGTGATTTTCCTGATGTACTCACAGATTCCCATGGTGACGATTATCACCCTAAGGATATTATCTTTAACTAGAAGAAAATTATTTTCTTTCCATCATTTTAATTATTAACAATTTCGAGTTGGTTTCAATAGTTTCTTTCTCACAATTCAACTCTTGGAGTGATGAAATAACTGTGGTACTTTTCATGATGATCAGAAATATGAAATTCCCAACGATTAACATTATTCAAAGTAAATTGATGTTAATTGTTGCGAATTAGATAAATAACTTGTTGCTTCATTACAAAGTTACACTGAGGATACATGGTAATGAAATTTGATTTCATGGTAATTTTTTCTTAAACAAACAATAGGTAATCATCTCTGAATAGTGATGAACATTGATTGTAAATTATTTGAGTTAAATTATTTGCATTAGAAACATTATCATGCTGAATTTAGAGAGTTTCAATTCAGTAGGATAACAAAATAACTTATTACGTTTTCGAATTAAAGTTTTTTTTTGGTTTTCATTTCAATTCTATTATTCTGTTCTGTAAACAATTTATCATCTCATTCTCATCATTAGCAACATCATCAGAATCATCTTTTATAAGTTGATGATGAGTTATATTGAATACTATGTAATCCCTTCAGGTAAAAATAGAAACCCATACAAACAGTAATGATTGACAAGTTACATGATGGAAAATTTCATTCTCTCTCACCTTTAACTGAGAACTTGATTTTTTTCAATATCTCTCTCTCTCTCTCTCTCTCTCTCTCTCTCTCTCTCTCTCTCTCATTCTTACTTTGCTGAATCTTTCATTTTCTTTACCACCATTTGATTTCAAGTTAAAGGAAAAAGGTGACATGGAGAAGATAAAATTTTCTAAAGAAAAAGTGATGAAGAGAGAAAGAATGAGATAAATGATGATATTCCAGGCAAATAGAGAGAAATGTTACAATAACAACGAATATTATTTATAACTGAATAAGATGAAAACATAAATTCATGTTAAGAGGTGGGATCGAGGTCGATCGATAACTTTGCCTCCACCTCTCTACTCCTTTTCCCACCTTCCCTCATAACACAATACATAATGATGGTAATACAATATAAACCAATACACTTTTTATTACATAACATTTAATAGACTCAGAGAGAGAGAGAGAGAGAGAGAGATTCTGAATCTTCATGTACTTTCATAATACATGGGATATAAGAAGGATAATGTATTCAAATAAGATGATAAAATTGGTGACGGTGGTAAAAGTATTAACAGTTACTCCATTTGGGAAATTTGGTTAAGAACTTTTTTTTCCTTCTTACTCTTTAACATTTTAAATTTCTACTCATCAATTGAACAAATTTGATTCCAATTTTCTTGAAATCAATCAATTGATTAAATTTATTGTGAATTCTTTTTTTTTCGTATTCGATTTACTTTAAATACTCTGATAGTTATTATGTTCATCGGAGATAATATTGTAAACGATAAAAAAAGTTTTTCAATTGCTCATGAATGACTAATATTTGTATTGATATTAGATGAACACCTATCACTTTTAGATTAATAGTTTTCCAGGTTGAAGATAAGATCGATCTCATTTTTTTCAACAAACAATATTCAGAATCGTTCACCATCTAGATCGAATGAACCTTTTTCTAAAACTTTTAAAACTTTTTTCTGTTCTTTTTAAATCTCGAGTGTTTGTCTTTACAATTATCAAATTAAATTTTCTGTTTTCGCTACAATGATAACCCTAATTTTATTGGTTGTTCAATGTTTATCTTTAACTTTTCACTTAACGTGAATCGTTCAATAGCAATGTGATGTTATTGATTCATAATACAAAAGAAAAGGTATTAGAACTTTTTTTCTCGTCAAATATCGCCAAGTAGTGACATCTCTTAACTGGTAGATAAACTAAACAATTGGTTAGTAAGAAATGTGATGATAAATTGATGATATAATTTACCTCTTACTCTTTATTACCGGTCTCTCTCTCTCTCTCTCTCTCTCTCTCTCTCTCTCTCTCTCTCTCTCTCTCTCTCTCTCTCTTCCTGTTCCTCTTACTTTGCAAGTCTTTCTCTTAGCCTTTCCTCTCTTTCTTTTTCGTTCACTTCCTTGTTTATCATGAATTGTAATCAGAAGATGATAAAGATCAATAATCTAACTGATAAATTCAACGATAGATGGCAACTTGCCCAATGCTAACCGAAACTCATCTATGGTGATGGTTAGTAATGAATCAACATGAAAGTAACTGAATTTCAACCCCATGGGTGAGACTGAACAACTTGGAAAAAAAGAGGGAGCAATAAGAAGAAAGAAAGAGAGAGAGAGAGAGACCATGAAATACCCACTGAGAGGGTAAAAAAGATATGCTGTTGATATTATTGTTGTTTCCATCATGTACTCAGTTGGAATAAGTTTCAACCATTGGAACTTAACTCAACAGCTTGTTCATTGAACATTCCAGTTCTTAGATGATTTTCTTTCCCGACTCAGTTTCATTTTTCTTTACATGATGGAATATGATCATTATTATTGTTGTTATTATTATTATCAAGTTGGAAATTTTCTTCTTTCATTTCATTTCAATTAATCAACCCAAAAATATCAGAGGTTAATTATTTCATTATAATTGAGTGAAAATTAGGTGATCAATGAAAGAGTAATACTTTCGTTAAGTGTCTAACTGATTGACAACAATTGGATTAAATTCACGGATTCAAAGTAATATTAAAATGTTGAGAGTTAGTCTGTCAACTACCCTTGATATCCAGAGGATATTAAAGGGTATTCATTGTGTCGACTCTTGTTAATGTGATAACAGTTCATATTTTGTGGTTCGCGCCTTTTAAAATACCTCGAAAGTTGTGAATAAATTGTGTACTATTTTCGTTTGGGTGAAGAAGTTTTTTTGTTCGATCTTTACCTTCTCAATATGCAAAGACTTCGCGATAAATTTCGTCGGAAACACACATCGACCGTTAAATCGGTCTCGTCTCCAGGGAAAATGTCACCAAGTTCATCTTCATCTGATCCAAGTTCACATTACCTGAACAAAGTATTAACTCTTGACTCAACTTCAGAAAGTTATCATTCCTGATGGTGCCAAACGATTGTAGCTCATTATCATCGTCGAATAATAGTTCCAACAATTTAACTTTACCTGAGCTCGGCAAGTAAGGTCAGCTTCTTATGATGAGATACGTTTAAGACGCGATCTTGAAAGTTCTGGACTTCGTGATGATATTGGTTCGATTACCCTTGATGCCGAAGCCGATCCATCTTCACTTGCCACGGAACCCGAAATACTTTCATCTGGAAGTTCAATGCTTGATGTACCTTCAGCTAAAAGTTC